AGTTCGTCTTTCAGCTACCATTGTTATCTTTATAGCAGGCTTTGGAGCCGAATGGGCAGCATGATTTTGACTGCGATCGTTTTGTATTTTATTTCGGCGGAAGGATTAGTGGCAACGATCAATGCTTCTTTTGTGGGTGAAATTTGCTTAGGATACCTTTTCTAATCTTTCCATTCGTTAAGTGATGAGGCAACAAACTTGTTTATAAGGCTAACTAAAGAGCCCAAGGGATAGCCATATTCTACTACGGATGATGACTTTGTTTAAAGGACACAAGTGCGAGGATAAGCTAGATCACTTGCGAAATTTAATGTCACCCACTTATTAGAAAATTAAAGTACCAAAGGTTGAATGGAGGAGAAATGAGACATCAACAGAATTACTGGAATTTCACCTTCCTTAGACCAATTAAAGTTATATTATAGATGAAGTACCACACGTTGTAAATAACTACTAGATTTAACCATACGAGCATAAATAAAAGGATCGTCGTAAGGGTAGCTCTTGCTTTTGAATTGTTGATGCATTAAATTTAGGGTTAGACGCGTCGTCGTCGGAATTAATCGTGTATTGTGGGTAGAATTGACATGATGGAGCAGAACGTAACCAGTGCCTGAATGCATGTTAGCGTGCTTAAACGCGGGTGAAGAATTTTTTTATTGAGCACTGAATTACTAAGGTAGAAAAAATACGTCCGATGACCTACACTCTCATTGTGCGTTGTGTTTCGGTAGTAACTAAGTGAAATTATTGCTAAGCATTCTACAATTTTAAAGTTTAAGTTGACACTCTCTGTGCTCTTTTTAAAGTAATTAGACATAAAACATTTTCTGGCCCCAGTTTTGCTTTTTATCTATTCGTCTATTATTTTCCAGAACGATAAAATAATTTAGTCTTCCCATGGACAGCGGACTACGTCTGTTGTTCGTCGCTATACTTCGCTGTCCGAAACATTTACTTTTTGCATAGGCCTACGAAAAGATCAGTGCAATTAGAAGACATTCGGACTTACATGGAAGAAAAGCAAACGATAGTCAGGAGCTTGAATATATACGGTGGTCCGATAGTTCCGCAAATCACCCACTCCATTGTTCAACGGAAGATATTCCCACTTTCTCTTTCTGTAATTTTTGCCATAGGTAAGTAAGCAGCGAAAAATTATTATTTCGTTACTTTATGTTTCCTTCCCGGATATCTTCCGAACTGGATGTCGAGCACAACCATGTTTAGTTGACAATTTAAGGCATTTTAATACGCCAAATATTTAAGAGTATTTTTAAAAAGTAGTGAGATGAGCGGTTTGTTATTTATTTTTTGATAAACAGCTTTTTCTCCAAAAATGCAGACGAAGTAGGAGCTTTAGTTTTCGACTTTGGGTCGTACACTCTCCGGGGAGGGTTCGCTGGGGAAGATACACCGAAGGTTTTATCGACTTATATGCTAATCTATTCATTTAGATTGATATACCCAGCTATGTTGGTTCTGCACCATCAAAAGACGATGCTTCAATTACCAAAAGAATAATTGGGCACAACGTATTTGTTCCACGTGAAAAAATGGAGGTAAAACCCTTTCTCAAAGAAGGCCTGGGTATTGCATTTGTTCATTTTTATGTTATTGCGTAGTCGAGGATTGGGACATATTTGAAGATGTTGTGGCTTTTATGATAAACTACCTTATTCCCTATGAACGCACCCAGCATCCCGTTCTGTTTTCCGAGCCAGCATGGAATCCCAAGTTGAAGAGGGAAAAAATGACCGAAATTTTGTTTGAGAAATTTGAGGTTTTTCCTCCTTAATATCTAGTTTTTCTCCAGCTACCTGCATTTTATCTTGCAAAAAATGCCGCCCTCACGTGTTTCGCGAACGGACGTCATGCTGGTCTTGTACTTGATTGTGGAGCTTCCTGTACGGCTGCAGTTCCAGTATATGATGGCCGAGTTCTAACCCAAGGCGTCGTTCGAACTCCTCTGGCTGGTGATTTTA